GTGAAACAGAGACAAGTCGCAACCGAAAATATTTCTCTCAGAGGCAAATGGGACTTCGCTCGCTGAAAACTAAACGTACGACATGCACTGATCGAGGGCAACTACTGTTGCTCCACTGCTGCTTCAACTTCTGACCCTTCGCCCTCATTTTGCAAGCAGTCATTATAATATTCTGCAGAAAGCTGCAGTTTCCAATGGCTATTTATCAAAACACTGCACGAGACTCGAACTTCAAGACTCATAGTTCTCTTTGAGATCCCTCCAAAATCCAATCTGTTATTTGTACTTTCGGCATACCAAGCTACGGAACGGCTTCTATCAGAAATGCTGGACACCTGTCGCAACATTTGCTACAGTTGGTAGAATTAAAAAACTGAAGTGACATGTTGCATTAATTTTCTGGTTGTGTTATCCTCTGAAAAGTACAACAGCTGATTGATTGCCAGTGTTTCAAGAGCTGGTCATTGTTCAAATCTGATGAGGTTTATTGTTAAAAATTTTCACTTATTTGTTTTATTCAAATGATGCGCTGCTACAACCCGTTGAAACTTACAGAAAAACACAGATATGATGCTTGGGTGTTAAAGGTAGGTATATAAGTTTAAGATATGGGCAGTTTGGTTTGCGAAGGACAACCTTGTACCGGTTCCGTGGCAGAAAACTGTAAGGGAGTTGCGCTATCGAGCACTATAGGTTCAGTGACGCCTCCTTCTCTCCAGTGACTCCGCCTCCAGACTCCGCCTTCAAGGCCCGCCTTTCAGTGAAAAACGAAGCTGCAGGACGAAAAAGCATGAAAATGATAGCGCCATTGTCGGCATTCAGCCAAACTTTTAAACTCGTTAAATTTAATTTCAAATTTGAAACTTCTAGTATGGAGTCACCCATGGATAGCTACCTGGAGACCAGTACTCTCGATCTGGAAGACCTCCAACATCGAGCAGCTCCGACAACGTCGCTACGGTCTAGGACATCATCTTCACCGCAGTCGCCAAGGCGCGGGTTGATGGTATGGACCGGACGCACCTGGAATGGAAAGACCAATATTTTCTTCGTGGACCCCGGGCTGAAGCTGAGCGCTGGCGGTTACATCGACCAACTCAAGAAGAATATCTTCTCCCACATGTCGTCGCCCGTACCTTCTTGGAAACTTTGTACTGCTACACGAAAACATTAAGGCGTAGATTGAGCCAGTCGTGTTCGCTTGGCCTGCAGCCGTGGGGTTTCAATTTGGTCAAACGAATGCACTGCACAACACTACGACAGCTGGCGATTGAATTACAGTCTGTTGGCTGTGGATGCTCGGGCTCATCAAGGAGGCTGGATTTGGCGCAGCGCCAGCCCGTTTTTCCTAAATTGTAGTCGCTTGCTCGCTTCACAACTGGTGCTAGATGGAACTGGCGCCATGCCAAACTCAGCCCCTATGCACTGCACCTGCATTTAGCATCAGCGGCGCACTCAACTTCGTACTTCTCGCCTTCATATCCTATGCCCTACAAAGTTTGCGGGTGGCATGCCTCGCAGCACGGCATACACTGGGTGATCTCTAACCCCAACAAGGAACCCATCATTGCCTCGCTGGCAGCCATTGATGAAAATAGGCTAGCTCCTACCAAAAGTTGTGTTCGTAGTGACGCCTCCTCGACACTCCGATAAGTATTGTATGTGATTTTCTTTATAGAACGATATCGCCGAATACACTGGATTGTACCACTGAACTGACTACAACGCGAGATCCTCTTCTGCTATCATTTTATCCATTGTCTGCAGATGCACTTCAAGCAATCGATGCTATTGACTACATCACGGATCATTTTAAAACATGAAGGAACACAAAATGGTGGGTTAATACTTTTTATGGACCAGTGTGGGGCTGATCCCCCAGTCGTTGGCTGTTATCCAAGGTTGGCCGTGATGGGTAGTTCGGGTTTTCTCAAGATGATTTGCTTGCTCGGTGATCGAACATTAACCCGGCCATTGAAAAAACTGGAAAAACTTCCGAAAGTATGAGAATTGGTAGCGTGCAAAGAGAATTCGAGAAGGTGGTAGGTAGGATGAGAAAGAGAGATTGCATTGAGACCACCATTTCATCCCGTCCCTATGGTGAACCTTGGGGGATTCCGATTTCACTGAATTTCAGAGTCAAGCCGTACACTTCGCTAGGAATAGTCGAATGAACGCTACGGACAGTCTCGTTCGCTGCGGATACTGGGGCATGTAAGGGGTCCGAGTCTGGCGCGGGACCGTCCCCTTCTCCATCAGGGTATGAAGAAGACAAGCGGGAACCATTGGTGGAAAGGGGGTGGGTGTCCCCAAAACCCGGCTCCCTATTCGCAACATCCACGGCGAACAAGGCTGTACGTAGGATGTTCCGCTGCCAATGGGCGACTAGACAAGGATGAGGACTGTATGCAGTTTCTGTAGATTCAACGATTTTCAGTATCGCGATGATTGGAAATACGTTGCGATGATTATTGACCGATTGCTGTTGTACGTCTTCTTCGGCATTACTGTTGGCGGCACGTGCGGAATTCTTTTCAGTGCACCGTATGTGTTCCAAGGTGAGAATGGCTTACAGTGAACCGCGTTTATACCTTGCGACTCTGACGATTCCATTATTCAGCGGTTTACACTTTTCCGGATCAATACGTATACTTTCCTTTCAGCTAGTCCCCAAAAACGTGAAATCTCTAGAGTCCCTGGGTCTAAAGGCACCCTGAAAGTTTGTAAATTCAAACAAGATCTATTCTCTGCTTATATCACACTACAAAACCAGAGATTTTGCGGCAATCGTAGTTCTCGCTCCGTCTCTTCGCGCACGGAGTTTTCTTAAGTGCTTGGCCTCACTGGAGCACCGGATGTAGACGACGACATCATAGATATTTATAGCTACTTTTGGTTATGCATTGTCCTCTCACCTATCTGCGATCTGGAAGCATCGTAATTTGCGGCCACGACATCGCACGAGACGCACACCAGCGCGACGCGGCGCGGCGAATTACGATTGTCTTGTCACATATGCTGCGGGGTTCACCTCTATGAGTTCACCAACGATTACTGGCCTCTTATCGTCGTGGTAACCTGTGCACGATTCAGGTGTCAATCAACGTGCAGTATTGGATCGGCTTATCGACTTGTACAAGAGCGGTGGTAATCGTGATTAGTTACAACGTGGCGTTAAGTACTCACTCAACAGAGAGGAATTCACACACAGTCTAAAACTCTGCTCTGTGAATGCTAGGAAATTGTACCGCTGCTGTTGCAAAATTATTGAAAAGGGATGAAGTTGACCTAGTTCGAGCCCTGAACATGAATGCCACGTCGCTCTGCATCAACCGTGTAGTGCCTGTACTACAAAAGCCGGCATTACGAAGCTGTTTTGAGTCGCTTCTGTAGCCGCACCCCAGGCAATTCCATGCTGGCTTGGGGGAGCACCCACTAAGTGGGCGGCAAGCTCTCCCTGGTCTCTCGCTATGGTCATCCATTCCCTTGCTAGGATCAGCCTTGGCAGGGGAGGTGATCATCATTCGGGGCTCGTAGGAGCGGAAATACTGCTGTGTGTATTTCGAACAGGGTACAGCATCGTGATGTAAAATGGTTGTGTCAGCAGGACCCCCCCCCTCCGAAGGAGGGTCCCGGTGCGACCCCTCCCCCTCGCCTCCCTTCCCCTACACCAACCTACCACTTTCCTCACTTTCCTCCAAGTTTCCAGCTTTCTACCATTTTTTCACCCAAAAATTTTTTGCGAGCAGGGGGAGGGCCAGAGGGGGGGGGTGTATAGCACACGTGAAACGGGGAAAGCTGCGAAAAGTCAACAACGGCGAAAAATTTTTCCCGAACCGGCGAATTTCTCTCAAATGCACATACGGCTCCCCCTTCTCCCAACAGTTGCCAAAAACACACCACCCCCCTCCCCAGCGGCTAAGTACGCCCCCCCCCGTGTTTTCACACAAACGATGGCGACGCATTCCTACATTCTTGGGCACCACTGGATCAGGGATCAAACACCACTGTATTGGGGATCGAAGTGGAGAAACTTTTTTTTAGCAAACTTGGTAACTTGCGGCACGGAACATAATCCAAGAAGAGAAGACTCCAGAACGTCTAGAATACTTTTTTTTCCTAGGGAAGGCTCTAGATGGTCGTCGTTGAACAGGCATGCAAAGGTTGAGGGAATAAAGGTATGCATGGAAGGCGCTTTTAGTTTATTTGATTGAGGTACGTGGAGTTTCAAAAGAAAAGGATGGGCTGATCACATAGACCTACAGTCCAAGGGTTGACGAAGAAAAGTTGTATCTTTCTCTAGTAGGCTTGTTACGATGGAATCCTTTCCACCGTTCCTACCCAGAGCTGTACCTTACGAAGTACTGGTTCGATGAAATAGCGACATATAGCAAGAACCTGCCCCACCCCTTCCCAAATATCCCCGCAGTACGAGAATGCCCTGCCACCTAGTACTGACGATAGAATTTTCTCAACGAAGCTGTGCCCTGAACGCACCTCGGAAAAGTTAAAAGCTATTTCAAACGGTCTTCAAAAGGATGAGCTGACACTTCCGTTGCTTGATCAGATAAGCTCTCAAGAAGTTCCTATGCCAGTCTTGACAGAACGCTTTGATGACGATGGTGTATCAGTATTAATGGAGCAGAGTCACTATGAGGTTTTCCTCTTTTTATGCGGTAAACTCGTTGAGTGAGTATCTAGCGCTCATTCCAAGTGATAATTTATTCGGTCGATTCTAATGTATATGTTTTTTATTGTCGGTGTGGTGTTCGCGAATAAAGCTCTTTTGCTTGAAGATATGCTTGGAAACGCATCCGTACCATGTCAACGAGGAGATCAAAAGCCCAAGCAAATAAAGCGATATATTAGCGATTATATATATTAGCGATTAGCGATATAATAGTAGTGGTGAAGTCCTCTTAGTCCATCGAATTGAGATCAGATGGAACAAGGTAATCATTTAGCACGTAAAAACTACACAAAAATTTGCACGGATCAACCATACCTCATTCAACTCTGTATGTTGAAGACCAACCCGTTGATTGCATATGCGATAGTAATAGTGCGTTTCTCACATATTACCTAATAGTCGCCAAAGAGCCTCTACAGGGAAGAAAAAAGCAAAAAAAATTGGAGAACACCCTAAGGACTCCTGGAAGCTCTCCGGACCTGCCAGTCTTATGCCAGTGAGATGATACTCTGCCGCTAATCCTTCATTATCTTGGGTCGACCAATGCTAACAGTGGAAAAAACGGAAATCACAGTGTAAAAGCTGAACACCTAACAAGAATTAGCACTGGAATTTCGGTGGGCGGAACAAAGTCACAAGTGCCATTTATGATGGCCACAGCGACTTTAGTACTATTGCTGAAGCCCAAAGATGACAGATTAGATGAAATTAATATCGTTTATCGGGAAGTGAAAACTTTGTCTTGTGTCAGGATGAACGCAATCATGACTATGCAGGTATCCGTTGTGTCGAAGCGCGGATTAGAGTAATTCTGTCATACTCTGCCCAATATACATTGTCATCAACTTCGTAAACACACTTCTCAATGAACTGTACTGCCACTATTGGCAATTTCAGCGGAAGCCGTACCATCGTTTTGGCTGCAGATGCTGGGGGCGTGTCAGGGGCCTAGGCTTGGCATTTATAGACCTGTATTTCTTACCTCCAGTTAGCCAAATAAGAGAGGAGGACAGGTGGCTAACTGAGTGGGTTCCTTATTACGGAAGGTCTTCTATCGCCTTACCAGTATGTTCTCTCCCTCTTCTCCGTATGTTACCTAGCATCCGAGGGTCGTGAAACAAAGAACACAGTCCAACCAAAACTATCCTCTCTGAGGCAAATGGGAGAAGGATTTCCTGAAGCATGTTCTCGCCGTTCGAGAGAAAAGGAGCGCTATTAGTGGCGGAGCTCCCCAAATAGTTACCTTAAACGTCATCGAGGATCGACAATTTTCACTTACTTTTCGTCAGCACTCGGGCAGAAAGGATGATGCGCGGCTGGATTGATGGTGAAGTGACCCAAACCGGGTAACTGGGTGATTTCAGGTTCTGTAGGCTCAGGAGTAGGTTTCCTTACTTGGGATTTTGGTCGTTGCATGCACATCGCATGAGGCATCCACTGAAAAGAAGCGATTATGGTAACCAGCGAATAATGAGACAGCAAAGGAACCCACCTCAAGGAAGAGCTTACGCACCCATTTCGGCATGCGATGTGTGGTTGGACCACGGAAATAGACGTTTATAATGATTACAGTAACAAGAATAGTGATGACATTGAGCACGAAGGTTAGCAAGAGATACCTAGATCAGTCGTTTAAGATGAATGAACTGCAGGCGCAGAATGTCCAGGCCAAAAAGATAATGGGCTGAGGATAACTGACTTTGCCATGAGTGGAATAGTGCTAGAAGTTGGTGGAAGAATTTTTGAGACCAGTAGCAGAAACACAACTATAGAGAGCAACACGGAAATTGTGAGTGTCATCTTCTCTCCTGGAAAATAACAAATTACTTTTCTGACATCATTCTCACAAAGAAGAATCGGAAATCTGGAAAAGCAAAGTTCGGTGAAGTTCTCCATGGAAAACTGAGCAGTACTTTCAATTCGAATGAAGAATCCCATGTGAACGGCAGGTGCTACAAAACGCGACAAGGTTCATGGCGTTAGACTTACCAGAATCTGTTGGTAGGAAGAACACTGCCATACTGAGAAAAGCCATCAGCACAGTTGGAATGATGAGCACCACGGTGTAGAAAAGTGTTTTTCTCCTGAACCATAAGCCTTCAAAATCATTTATTACAATGCTACAAGCTTTGGGAATTACCACATTACAAAAATCACTCAAATGAAATATGGTCACATTACAAAAATGACTCAAATGAAATATTATAATGGAAACCAAGAGCTTTACTGGGCCGTGAGACCGGCGTCTATTGAACTATAATATAAGAGCGGAGAAGGAACCGAATGACGCTAGGCACATCCACTCTGCTCAGCTGCGCCCTTTCAATCTGAGCTTGTTGGATGGACTGATCTATTTTCCGAGCCCAAGCTAGCCACGATCTGATCGAAGGACATCCACGACCCACATATATACCCACAGGTTGGAAGAACATATGCGATGTCGACAGGGTATACCCCACATATTTCGCTGGCGCCGTTCAAATTCATGTGGGATCGCGGCACTGGAGGAGGTTGCAACCATTGAAATGGCATCAGTCGCTCTGCCGTCTGGCCCTTTCAGACGGCAGAGCGACCTGATGCCTATTTAGCGCCCACAGGGCTATGTGAGAGACCGATGAACTGGCAAAGGGCCTGGACACATTGTGGTATAATACCTTGTTTCAAACCAGGGTGGGAGGAGGGTGACAAATATCTTTATTTCAGAGGGGTTCTGCTATTTATTGTAAGGTTAAGGGAGACAGCGTGGAGAAGCATTTGATTGAGAAAGGGGACCCTATATAAAAGGTTCCAGGTCTTGTTTCGACGCGATACCTTAAGCCTACTAGGTCGTGCAGTACTCATACCGTCGCACTACTTTCACTTATATAGTGTAGTTCGCTGCGGACGTTGGGCTTGTCAGGCGGGATGAATTTTGTTCGGCGGTGCGCAAACCCGTCTCCACCAGTTGTTTAAAGCGAGCAAGTGCTATAACTGTGCTCATAACATTCGTAATAACCTCGTATTTCTACCACTTGTTTGTCGCATCGCCGCGCTTACAAGCGAGGCAGATCAACCGGCTTTCAATCGGGTGAACACCATCTGGCCTGACACGACCCAAACTGTCCCGCGCGCGAACACAGAGTGTACCTCCATCACCCCTAAATGGTTTGTTGATCCATCTGTCAAGGTTCATAAGATGAAAGCGATGAAAGCCTACGATCAAGCCTTTGCCCATCTTCGGGCGCTCAATATCAAGAATCGAATTTTCTATCGCGAAGATGGAAAGTCCTGATTTTTCGACTGCTAAGACATAAATTCACTTGCGGAAGCAGATCCTTAACTCAAACAACCTGGGCAGTCGTCATTCAGCTAAGGTCCAAATTGCAAGGAATAGAGGGGTTAATGTATTATAAAGGCATAGGCAATCGATCAAATGAAACTGAAGTGAACAGGGGATGCGGAGGAATCTTGAATGCTCTCAGACGATTTCACGGAGATAATTGTACTCATACATACCTGATTCTTACTTGAAATTCTATACGACTGCGTTTATTGACCAACGAAGCTGGTGCGTCCATCACATCCCAAATGGAAGACGGCGCATATTCAGGACAGATCAACCCATTCGGCTTGTTCGAACTCAAGTTTAATCTCGTTCTCGTTATACTGAAGTAGCATCGCATCCGGCATGAATATTCGCGAATTTTCTCATAGAACCACCCTGTGCGGTAACCGAAAGGGCAGAGATATGGATAGAACCTCAATCATCGTTCATTGATGAGCTCTTTTTGTTCACCGTGTTATCAGGAAGGCAGCACCAATAAGAAAGAGCCTTAATGGTTCTCCGCCCATTTCTCTGCCCACTTGCTTATCGCGGAACGTTGCTTTAGGAACGCGATAAACACTCACCGTCCAAGATCCGAACACTAACGTGCACACCTGCTCGGCGAAAGGCAAAATTCCGGGCACTATCTGAAATATGAACGGATCTCACTCAGCAATCGATTACAAGAGTGGAATTTTCCTCACCTATGATGAGCACGAACTCTTGTAGATTGCCGGCGGTACCCATAGCATGTCACCGAGATGATTTATGACGACATTGCACATGAACGACACCTCATAATTACCGTCAGCGCTAAAAAAAGTAATAAAAATAAATGGCTGTAGAGTATGATGAATGAATTTGCCACAAAACTTGTAGAGTCGAGTATTGAGCTTTTGCTACAAGCTACATGGCGTTACATTTGAGTTTTTTTGCAGAGAGAGTGCTTCACTAGGGGCGTGCGATGCCATTAAAATGAACAGTCGAATGGAAAAGCGAAAGGGAAGGTAGTCGGTGGAGTGCCTTTTACTACTAGTTACCAAGAGGGATATCGGTTACACATCATCGGTGTCGAATGTATACTACCTTGCGAGTTTTCCTCTGCAAAGGTGCTCTAAGCAGCATAGAATAAGACTCCTCCAGGTACCGTGAACCGCCAGGCTGGCTCTTATGCATGTGCACTAAATTCCAACTTCCGCTCTGAGTGGTGATAACTAGGAGAATGGTGTGTTACTTCCATGTGCGGCAAAAAAACGCTGCAAGCGGATGACGTATGCTGCATTAGCACCAGGACCCAACCCACCTAACACGCGGGAGACGGGCAAGAGATTCGTAATTTGCCGCTTTACCACGCGCGCCGAAGAGCTTGGCCTTTTCCTACCTCGTGGTAGCCTGTCGATTGGGGCACTGGACACTTCAGCCGTCATCGTAGCCAATCATGACTGCCTTCGGTTCTGAATTGCCTGTTGCCGCCATCTATTACCTGTAACCATCGTCATTTGCGGGCGCGACGTCGCAAGCGACGCCCAACAGTGCGGTGAATTACGATTCTCTTTCATAGCCCGGCTAAACGATGTAGGCCGCGGTTGACTAAGTCTATCGCCAACTCGTACTGCGATGCCGCCGCTCGTTATTCGATAATCAGTCGAGGGAGTTATGCTAATCACGCGATTCTTCTGATGCGAACGGCCCCTTGTGCCTGTTTTGCAGAGATTTTGGTTGCTTCAAAGCATATGGACTAGTAAAACTCGGGGTGCTGCTTGCAGAGCGTAGGCCGTTTACCACCACGTACTTGTTGAACAGAACGATGTCAGGCAGGCCATACTTTGTCCGGCGCTGCACAAACTGGAATTTGTCTGATTTCAGCCGGTAATTCACTGGATTCCGAACGCATTTGAAATCGGTGGTCCATTTCTAAAATCTGAGTTTGTAAATGACTACAAAAATCGATTATTGAATCCGAAAAGCCATTCACATACTAGTGTTAACCACACGTTTGTATGCATCACTTGATCCTTTTCGTCCTGAAAAGTGTAGAGATGAATGCCAGCAAATTCTAGGCTGAAGTTGCTAGAGAGAGAGAGAGAGAGAGAGAAGAGAGAGAGAGAGAGGAGAGAGAGACGAGAGAGAGAGAGAGTTCGGAGAGTTTACCAAAAACCTTTATTCTGAATTGTTTTGTGAATAATCCAACACTCACTTTGAAAGGTGCGAAATGTAGCAGTGGTGCGAGCACCCATCCCTCACTCGGGCTGGGGGGGGGCAGATCTATTGCGCTGACACTAGTGAGCCATTCCCCTCAGCGTGGTAGGTTGGCTCGTAGCAGGGTCGTCTGAGAAAAACCCCTCAAACCAGGGGCTGCCCCTTCGTCGCACACTCCCATTCGCCATTATAATGGTGAACGAGAGTGTGCTGTATCTCAAGAGGAAGTTGACCAAAGCGGAGTGTTCCATCGACCTTCTCTTTTAAGAGTTATCAATCGGTTTTCGCTATTTTGAATACCTGGCGTGTGCTAGGTGGATCGGACTTCCCACTCATGTTCACCCATTATGTTCTATAAGATCTGAATACCTTGCCCATGGGGACTATGGGGATTTCCTCCAGTTCGCTCATAAGTGTGTCCCTTTTTAATGTTTATAGTGTGCGTGAGTATACCAACTCCAAAAGCCGCATGGGTTCGTTGCTCGCATAAAAGTATGAAAGTATGTACCAGTTCTAAGCTCAAATGTACTATGCAAAAGTAAAGGCTCACCACATTGATAAGCAAAACAAGTTGCAGTGCGATTTTCACGATGATTGGAGTGTCGCTGATATTTTTCACTGGCTGTGTATGAAAACCATTATTATTCGATCATCTGTTACGTACATCATCTCTAAGTGTACTCTTTTAACCAGAATTTACCTGAATCAAGGAATTGTACCCACGGAAGACGTCCATCATAAGACGTTCTTCATCGTCGGAGGCGACCGCTGGAAATATCATGACAATTAGGTGCTCATAGAAAATTTGCATGTTGGGGCTCAGGTTGAAAGGGTAAAGGGCATCCCTCTGAATGGCCCACGAACTCTCCGCTTTCATTCAGTACCGTAAGCATAAGCAGTAGTGAATATGTTCTAGAGTGTTATTTAGCTTGATCTGCTGACGTTTGCGATGAATATACTGTCTAGCGAAGCACTAGTGTGGAGCTCTTTCTTCCACAAGGAGAAGACA